TAGGAAATAAAGCAGTTACAGAAACAAAACAAATGTAATGTGAAGTTGAATTTCTGCAGCATCCTTTCAATCCACCTTCCATACTTTGATGAGCAATGAAGCTGTTGGGTGTATGCTTTTTGAAGGTTACAGAAATGGCACATTTCATACTGTAAGGCTCATTCTGCAGACTGTCATTTCCACCCACTATGATATATCGCAAGATCTTTCCAGGCTGATGTATGTAGATGTGGTTCAGCCCTTTCCATTGTCATAAATTACCCACCTTGTCCATTCTCCTCCTAACAGATCTGTGCATTGTCTTGCTGTTACAAACAATGCTGCAATGAATATCTTTGCATGAGGTTCCTTGTGTGCATGTTCCAGAGTCTCTCTAAGCTATGCAGAAATTGAAGTGCTAGGTTGTAAAATTTAATTTCAATCTTGCTAAATTCTTCCTTGCTGTTCTGGACTCATGATTCATGAGTGTATGTGACTTCTAATTTCTCTCCTCACCTATACTTGCATTTTAATGTTTGCCAACTCTATGAATTTATTGGTTTAATTTGCATAATGATCTCTCTAATTATTGGAGGTATTGAGCATCTTTTCAACTTGACTATGTGCTTGCTTCTGTCATTATCAGCCCTTTGTGTTCCAGCCAGACTCTAAGCTCCTGGAGGAAGGGTTGGATCTCACATCAGAAACCCTCAGAAGGCACAGTCCCATCCAAGTACAGATTCTCTTTCTGTGACCCTTTCCCCCTTGACTTTTGTGCCCCACCTTGGACTCCTACCCTCCAAGATTAACAAATAAGCAGCTCCCCAAATAAGCATGCTAGGTTTGTGCTCACACAATACCTTTAGTCTGGAATGCTATATCTCTTCCAGGCCACCTGAACCTACCTACTCATGTCCCAAGGTTCACCTCAAGATCTTCTTCTATGAGGTCATCTATGAGCCCCCAGCCCTCTCTCCCACCCCAGGTTCACCTCTGTGCTTCCACTGGCTCCATATGACCTTCTCACTGCATGTGTAAAACTTATGAGCGTCTTTGATTGATTCATCTCTCCACCAGAGTCTGGACTCCTTGAGGACAGGCGCCATGTCTTATTCATCTTTGAACTTCTGGTTTATTGTTCAGTACTGGACAGAGGATAGATGCATAGTATGTGTTTGTCAGATGGGTGATGAGCCTCAAGGCCAGCTCCTTCCACATCAGTTCTCTGCAGACCATGATGTCCTTAAGGACGGAACTGTATTAATTCATACCATTGTGCCTTATGGTGGCTAACAGAGCCAAGTGATTATGGCCCTCAGTATCTATGATTGTCTGGTAGATCAGAAAACAACTTTGGACAGAATTTCCTGAACTTCCCCACACCGCCGCCCCCCAACCCCAGCTTTCTGCTGGGGAATTTCATTGGTCTCTCTGAGCCTCAGTTTCCTCATCTTCATAAAGAGGATGATAATAGCATTGAGGATGGCATAAGGATGAAATAAGGCTGTGTGTGTAAAGCATCTGGCATACAATGATAAGCATCTGGCATATTATAATTTTTATATCAGAACAGGGTGGGGTCTACTTTAGCTACAATTCTCTAGATGGCTCATTTTTTTTCAGTTGCCATATGTGATGAGCAGATAGTTCAGTTCAGTCACTCAGTCCTGTCTGACTCTTTGCAACCCCATGGACTGCAACATGCCAGGCTTCTCTGTCCATCACCAATTCCTGGAGCTTGCTCAAAGTCATGTCCATTGAGTTGGTGATGCCATCCAACCACCTCATCTTCTGTCATCCCCTTCTCCTCCTGCCTTCAATCCTTCCCAGCACCAGGGTCTTTTCCAATGAGTCAGTTCTTCACATCAGGTGGCCAAAGTCATAGCTCAATAGGTAAAGAATCTGCCTACAATGCAGGAGGCATGGGTTCAACTCCTGGGTTGGGAAGATCCCCTGGATAAGGAAATGGCAACCCACTCCAGTATTCTTGCCTGGAGAATCCCATGGACGAAGGAGCCTAGCAGGCCACAATCCATGGGTTCGCAAGAGTCAGCCATGACTTAGCAACTAAACCACCACCAGACTTAATTGATAAAACAGTGGCAGGCTTTGAGAAGACAGAGCAGATAGTAGCTATTCAATAGCTACTATTGAATCCAGATGTTCAATCTGGATTTAGAAAAGGCAGAGGAACCAGAGATCAACTTGCCAACATCTCTTGGATCATCGAAAAAGCAAGAGAGTTCCAGAAAAACATCTTCTACTGCTTTGACTATGTGGATCACAACAAACTGTGGAAAATTTTTCAAGAGATGGGAATCCCAGACCACCTGAACTGCCTGCTGAGAAATCTGTATGCAGGTCAAGAAGTAACAGTTAGAACTGGACATAGAACAACAGGTTGGTTCCAAATTGGGAAAGCAGTATGTCAAGGCTGTATATTGTCACCCTGCGTGTTTAACTTATATGCAGAGTACATCATGAGAAATGATGGGCTGGATGAAGCACAAGCTGGAGTCAAGATTGCTGGGAGAAATATCAATAAGCTCAGATATGTGGATGACACCACCCTTATGGCAGAAAGTGAAAAAGAATTAAAAAGTCTCATGATGAAAGTGAAGAGGAGAGTGAAAAAGTTGGCTTAAAACTCAACATTCAGAAAACTAAGATCATGGCATCTGGTCCCATCACTTCATGGCAAATAGACAGGGAAACAATGGAAACAGTGACAGACTTTATTTTGGGGGGCTCCAAAATCACTGTAGATGATGACTGTAGCCTTGAAATTAAAAGACACTTGCTCCTTGGAAGAAAAGTTATGACCAACCTAGACAGCACATTAAAAAGCAGAGACATTACTTTGCGAACAAAGGTCCATCTAGCCAAAGCTATAATTTTTCCAGTAGTCATGTATGGATGTGAGAGTTGGACTATAAACACAGCTAAGCACCGAAGAATTGATGCTTTTGAACTGTGGTGTTGGAGAAGACTTTTGAGAGTTCCTTGGACTGCAAGGAGATCCAACCAGTCCATCCTAAAGGAAATCAGTCCTGAAAATTCATTGGAAGGACTGATGTTGAAGCTGAAACTCCAATACTTTGGCTACCTGATGTGAAGAACTGACTCCTTGGAAAAAACCTTGATGCTGGGAAAGATTGAAGGTGGGAGGAGAAGGGGACAACAGAGGATGAGATGGTTGGATGGCATCACTGACTCGATGGACATGAGTTTGAGCAAGCTCTGGGAGTTATGAAAGACAGGGAAGCCTGGCGTGCTGCAGTCCACGGGGTCACAAAGAGTCGGACATGGGTGAGTGACTGAACTGCTCTGAACTGAAAGATGAAATGTAGTTTTTCTCACACAAGAACAGTGTCTTGCAGAAATCAGGTACATAATATTAAAAAGTTGAGCTGAACTCAATGTCTTACACAGTCAGGTACGCAGTAAATATTAAATGAAGCCAAATTCACCTCACTGTACTACATCCAATCCTACCTTAAAGATGTCACTTCTTTTTGTGGAAGAAGGGGCCCTCCCCCTTTTTCTGCCAAAGATGTACTTTTGATTTTTCCAGAGGATGGTAGTCACTGTGGTAGACAGTTATTGCGGTGAGTCCCCAGCGAACTGTTTCTGCTGACAGGAATGCTCTTGTTTAGCCACCTCCCACTAGAAGCTTGACTTGACTGTGTTTGTCTCTGGCCACAAGGACATTAACAAGCCAGTGTTAAGACATGATAAGTTCTAACACACTGAGTCTTGTCTCCTTGAGAGACTCCTTGGAACACAGTCACCATGCGAGGTAGAAGCCCAAGCTGGCCACAAGGAGAGGTGGAGCTCCAACAAAGAAAAAGCGATGCCTAACCGGCCTCCAGCTGAGGCACCGGGTATGTGAGAGAAGCAGCCATTTTCACAGCAGCTGCCCCACGGAGCAGAAATGAGCCATACCTTCTAACCCTGCTCAAACTGCACAATCTAAGTAAATAAATGACTGTGGTCATTTTAAGCTCCTAGGTTTGGGGTTGGTTCAGTGCATATCAGTGATCTGGGCGTTGGGGAGTGCTATGTCTTGGAGGCCCATCAGGTTATAAGCTTCAGCATCAGATGGAAAGCATGACTGTCTAACCTGGAACCCCTTCTCTGGGAATTCTTCCTTGGTGCCCCAGTTCCGAGGTCCCTCCTCTCTTATTACCAGGGGCCCTTATTGGTTCAAGATAAGTTTGACTCAAACAGTGAGAAGATGCCCAGGTGCACATTATAAGTAGTCCAGAGGGAGTGGGCGGTGGGTGTGGCGGGGGAAACTGTTGGCCAGGAGGATGGAGTTAATTGAGGTCATGGGGGACCAGATTGTGCTGCAGTGTCTGCAGTTCCTTTAGTCATAGGGTATCTGCCAAGAGCTGTCTGCTCTCCACCTTTCTCTCACCACACGAGGAGCAAGGAAGGCTCCCAAGATTTCCAAGTGGAGAAAAGAATTTCCCAGAATGCTCCACACACCCATACCTTTGCTCGCATCTCATTGGCCCAAGTTGAATCACGTGCCCCTTTCTGAACTAATCACTTTGTGTGTAGAAGGAAGGGTTAGAATTCCTGAAGACCAATCAAAATTACCCCTGGATTGGAAGAGGCGTGGTCAGTCCCTCTGAAGTCCATTGGATCTTGGGGAAGGAACAGATGTCTGGAAATAATTGGGGCTGTGCTAGGGAGGCCGTGCAGTAAGATCCAGCAGGGGTCCCCTATAGGAGCCCTTTGCCCCTGGCGAGGCACCCCGTGGGTGTGTGTGTGTGTGTGTGTGTGTGTGTGTGTGTGTGTGTGTGTCCCCAGGGGGAAAGGCTGGGGTGGGGCGAGGAGGGAACGGTAGTTTGGACTGTTAGGGCTTCTGTCCCTTCTCAGTAGCTTTCTCCAGCACTGCACATTGCCCTCTCCCCCAACCTGAAGAGAGGAGCCAAGCAGAGAGAAAGGTTCGGATGTGTGCCTTTCTTTATTAGCACTTTCTCTGAGCGGAGGGCACCTCTCCTGGGCTGTATCTACTTTGAGTTCTTGTTTTTGCTCTTTTCTTTCTCATCCAGTGCTTTCTGCAAGTTCATGTTCATCGCATTTTTCTGGTGCCACCGTCCTGCAGAGAGGAGAGAAGGAGCCAGCACAAATCACCAAGAGGACTTCCGGAGTCTGCAGGTCCCAGTGGCAACCCATATGTCTCCGGGCCCACCCCAGGGCTCTAGCCACTGCTGTGGTTTCTTTCAGGACCCTAGGCCAAAACACCCTACCCAGGGAGTTCCCTCCTTCCCCACCCCCAGCTGTCCACCTACCCAGATCATCCGTCTTCCTGCCATGCCAGTGCTCTAAGTCCCTCACTGATTTCTCAATCACCTCGGGGGTGTAGGAAGCCTTCATGAGGCTCTTCGTCTCCTGTGGGGCCCCTATGGAACCCCATGAAGAAAAGAAGCCCCAAGTCAACAGAGGTCAAGTACTCCAGGGTTCATATCTGGGTGTCAGTTTCCCCTGTGGATCATGGGTTGTGGAAGGGCAGGGCATAGGAAGGATTAGGCAGAGGAAGGCTGGCCTGGACTCAAACCCAAGGTCCATCACTTATGGACAGTATGGCCTCAGATAAGATTTTAATCTCTCAGTGCTTTGACCTCTTGATCTGTTCAAAAGAATAAAATGTTCTCACAATATTGGGAAGATTACATTCCTTGGAGCAGCTGGCATGTGGCAGTTGGTACCTATATTTTCATTGAGGTCTGTGTGTTAAAACACACACAAGGAAATAGTTACCATGATCAAAAGTCAGAAAAATCATCAGAAGACCAAATTCCAAAAGACACAAGGGTTTGAATGATCACTTACAGAATATAAAATTATTGTCATTCAATGTGTGAAGTTGTGAAAAAGAGAATAAAAACATAAGCAAAGAATAAAAAACTACCCAGAAAGAACAGACAGGTTTATAAAAGAAGCAAATGGAATTTCAGAAATGAAATATAATAGTTGAAAGGTAGTGGGTTCAATCCCTAGGTTAGGAAGATCCCCTGAAGGAGGGCATGGCAACCCACTCCAATATTCTTGCCTGAAGAACCCCATGGACAGAGAAGCCTGGTGGGCTGCAGTTCATGGGGTCACAAAGAGTCAGACACGACTGAAGTGACTGAGCACGCACACACAATGGATGGAAAATAAAAAGAAAGGTGATGGATGGTGAGAGGCCTGGGATTTGCTTCAGAATTATCTTGGGTGGGAATGAATGGGTGGGTGAGGAAAATGATGAAACAAGATTAGTTGTGTATTGATAATTATTGAAGCTGTATGGTAAGTACAATATCTTCTTGTTAAACTCTTCGCTCTTCTTTAAGTTTGAAAATTGACATCATAACTTTTAAAAACAAATTCAACAGACAGGTAAAAGAGCTAATTAGATACAGATGAGAAAAAATGGTAAACTAGTAGATAATATCTAAAGAAATTAAGTAGAATGCAGCATAGAGGGGGGAAATAAAGATGTGGAAAATAAAAAACTGTTAAATGAAGATTAAAGGAGAAGGCCTAACATATGTCTAACTGTAGTTCCAAGGAGAGAGTGGAGAAAACAGGGAGAGACAATATTTGGGAAGATAGTGGCTGGAATTTTTTCAGAATTGATGAAATACATGAATCCTTAGATTCAGGAATCACAATTCCCCAGTCAGTTTAAGCAAAAAGAATTCCTTACCTAAGTACAATCAAGTAAAATTTAGAATACCCGAGACAAAGAAATCCTAGAAATAGCCACAGAGAAAAGACAGATTACTTACAGAGAACAATAATGCGTTTAATTAGCCATCCAAGTGAGAAGGAAATAAATTAGCATCATCAAAGTGCTGACAAAAAGAAATCAACAATCTCGAACTATTTACAATAACTCTTCCAAGAATAGGATGAAATAAAAATCTTTCTGAGCTTAAAATTTACCAACAACAGGGATTTCCTGGGCAGTCCAGTGGTTAAGACTCCGTGCTCCCAATGCAGGGGACACAGGTTTGATCCTTGCTTGGGGAACTGAGATCCCGTAGGCCACACAGCTTAGCAAAAAAAACCCCAAGAAACCCAACAACAGAATCTCACCCCAAATATCTTCTAAACAACATAATTCAGAAAGAAAAAATAATCCCAGAAGGAAAATCTGAGGTAAAAGAAGGGATGGTAGGCAAAGATATTGAAAACCTTGAATAAATCTAAATACACATCAATTATAACAACAGTACCAATATTGAATATATGGAGCAAAATAATGACTGTGACAGGTAAGTATTTTTGAAGATTTAGCAGGTGCTAAGCACAGACAGTTTCATTCAGAGCTTTACAGAACTTCTTCACTGAATTTTCCCAACAACCCTAAGAAGTGTGGTTATTACCCCCGTTTTGTTGTTTAAGTCACTGACGCACAGAAAGGTTAAGTCACTTGTCTAAAGTCACACAGCTGGTAAGTGAAAGATGGAGGACTCAAACTCGGATCCTGCAGCTCCAGAATCCACAGCTTAAACTACTTTGCTTATGTAGAGTAAAAAAAACCTGTAAAATAATCACACGTTAGCTGATATTGGAGGGGTGGCAAGAATAAAGGTGAAGCATTCTAACACCTTTATATTGTTCAGAAAAGCTGAAATAGCTTGATTGACTTTAGAATTTGCTAACTATGTATGTAAAAATGTCAAAGATAGGAAATTCACTGGAGGTCCAGTGGTTAGTAATGAGCTTCCATGATAGGGGAACTAAGATCCTGCAAGTCATACAGTTCAGCCAGAAAGAAAAAAAGTCAAGGATAACCACTGAGAGAATAGGAAGAATAAGGACAAAAATTAGATTGGGGGAAAAAGAAAGCTCACTCAAACCTAAAACAAGGGAAGGAGAAAAAAGGCAGCAGAGAAAAATTAGGTGAAACATAAAGTACAAAATAAGACCATAAAAGTAAATCCATATCTATAGTAATTAAAATAAATATAAATGGAGTAGACCAGCTGTTTAAAAAACAGATGATCAGGCTATAGATGTTTTAAGATATATATTATTTAAAGCACATTTAAAGCAAAAGGACACAAAGAGAGAATAAACACGGAAATACAGAAAAGGATTAATAATCACAAAATCACAAAGCAATCTAGTCATACTACATTAATATTGGATAAAATAGACTGTAAAGAAAAAGCACTATAAGAAATAAAAGTAACTGCGGTTCATTCTGGTGACATAATAATTCTAAATTAGCTGTACTGGAATAATCGCAAAATTGGTAAAGCAAAACTGACAGAACTACAAAGAGCAATTGACAAAGCTGCTATCATAGGGAAAGACTTGAAGGTACATCTTTTAGTAATTAATAGATTAAACAAAAAACATTAACAAGGAATTCGAAGATTTCTATAGGAATAATTAGCAAGCCTGTTTTATTGAACAAATACAGAATCCTGAATTCAAATCATTTTCAAATATATATTGATTATCTATAAAAGTTGACCATCTGCTGGGTTATAAAGCTCCACATTTGAAAGGACGGCAATCATTACAGGTCGTGTTCTCTAATGATGCTATTGAGAAAGAAATCCACTTTTTTAAAAAATGATTTTTATGGTGTTTGGTATGTATCGATTTAAATGCTTACAGAACACAATGTTCAGAGACTTGGACTGAAGCCCTAAGGCTAGTAGAGATCAGATAACAGACTGAGCTGTGAAATGACCCCTGGGGTCACTTGGGGAGCTTGACACATTGCCCGAAAGTTTCCCCGAAAGCACCAAGGCTTGGAACAAGAGGCATTGGCCCCAGATAAGAGTGAGCCAGGCATAATCCCTCAAGTGCAAGGACGTATATGCATGTGTTTCCGTGACCCAGGTGTGAGCTAGTGGAGAGAGGACCAGCCTGGAGCCATTTTCAATCCTGCCTCTGATCTGGTCCTCCTCACTGGTCCCCCTGCTTCCAGTCTTGCCCCTCTGGGTTCTGTCCTATAACACTACAGCCAGATGGATCCTTGGAAACAGAAGTCACTTCTTAGTACAAAATCCTACAGTGGCTTCCAGTAAAAAGGCCAGAAAGAGCCTGTGTCCTTAGCATGGCCCCTGTGCCTGCCTGCTCTTCCCCTGCAATCCACAGGCTAAGCCCCACTTCTTCTGGTCTGTACTCCAAGGTCTCTTGCCCAGGAGGTCTGACACCACAGAGAAAAGCAAAGGGATTGTTAACAAGAGTCAAACAGCTGCTTCCCTGCCCGTCAAGTGGTTAGGACTCAGCACTTTCACAGCCATGAGCCAAAAACAATAACAAAAAAGGGTCAAACAAAAGTGAGATGAGGCAGCTGGGAGAAATACAAGAGAGGCTTCTGAGGTCCCTGTAAAGCCCCCCATTGACCCAGGAGGTGGCACACAACTAGTTATTGTTATTCTTTATACTCTACACACAGACTTTATACACTCTTCTACATGACAGCCTTTACAATTAAAAAAAAATAATGCGTCTGTTGTTTAATCACTAAGTCATGTCCAACTCTTTTGTGATCCCCGTAGACTGTAGCTCGCCAGCCTCCTCTGTCCTTGGGATTTCCCAGGCAAGGAGTGGGTAACCATGCCCTCCTCCAAGGGGTCTTCCTAACCCAGGGATTGAACCCTCGACTCCTGTGTTGGCAGGTGGATTCTTTACCCCTGAGCCACGCAGGAAGCCTGATAATGCATCTGTATTAATTTAAATGCAGGTATACAAGTTTGGCTTAATATTTAAAAGTCAGTTACTATAATTTACCACTTCAACAGATCTAAGGAAAAAAATCATATGAGCATCTAAGTAACAGCTGTATGACTTTCCTGATGGTCCAGAGGTTAAGACTCTGTGCTCCCATTGTGGGGTTCATGGTTCCAACCCTGGTCGGGGAACTAAGATGTGAGACTCAGACAAAAATAGAAAAACTTTATGGGGCTTCCCTGGCGATCCAGTGATTAGGACTCCATCCTGCCGAGGGTCTGGGTGGGGAACTCTTCCATGCAAGCCAAGCAGTGCAGTGAAAAAAACTAAACCAAAACAGCACTCATGCACGACTTTTTAAAAAATTTAAGTGCTAACTAGGAATAAATGGAACCCTCAAACTGATAAAAGGTACCTTCAAATTCTTTTTAAAATATTGGATTTAATGGTAAAACATTAGAATCAAGAAGCAGAGAAGGATATCTGCTTACTTGCACCATTGTCCCAGACAAACAAGCTGGGACAGATGGTACAAAGATGGAATAGAGCCTCGTGGGTAATAATGTGAAGTCTGGTCCCAGGCTGCCAGAGTTTAACCCCAACTCTGACTATTCCTAGCTGTGTGGCCTTAAGCAAGTTATTTAACCAAGTGGCCTTAAGCAAGTCATTGTTTCTATCTTAAAAAGGTGGCAGGGGTAGATTATAGCAATACTGCCTAAGGTTCTTATGAAAATTAAAATGTATATAAAGTACTTAGAGCAGTGCCTGGCTCATGTTACATGTTACACATAAATAGAGCCATTGTTATTATTAAAAAGAAGAAGCCCCAAAGAATCTACAAACAAATCATTGGAATTAACAGGTGAACTGAGTAAGCCCTCTGGATGTAAGATTAATGTACAAGAATTAAAATTGCCTCTGTGTATATAAGCAACAAAGTTAGAAAAAAAAATCACATTTTTAAAGAGATACTATTTGCAATAAGCAGCAAAAAATAGATAAATAAAAGATTTTTCAAAGCAAGTCTAAAAAAAAGTTGTCTAATCTTTGTAGAAAAAAAATTATAAAGTGTTATTGACACATTTTGAAGGTAGATTTAAATTAACGGGGTTGTAGACCATACCTATGGATTGGAAAATTCATTGTCATAACACTGACAACTGCCCCTAAATTGAGCTGTAGATTCACTGTATCAATACTTTCAATCAAAATGCCAACAGGATTTTTCATGGATATTGACAAGCTGATTTAGAATTTATATGAAGAGCAAAGAGCCTAGAATAAGCTAAGACATTAGCTGTTCCTGCTGGTGGTGGTGAAGGGGTGGGGCGTGAAGACAGCCCAACCAGATATCAGGCCACTTTTAATACCCTGATAATTAAAAGTGTAATATTAGACCAGTGGACAGAATAGAGAGCCTGGAAACTGATCCATGCACATAAGGAAACTTGATGGAGACCAGTGGTACCGCTGCAGGTCACTGGGGGGAAAGATGAGATTATTCAGTAAAAGGTACTAAGAAAATTGGTAATCCAAACCAACAAGAAATTAACAATGAATCCCTGCTTCACACTAAAAACAGAAGTAAACTCCACATGGATTAAAGACTTCAGTGTGAAAACCAAAACTAAATATTTTAGTAGACTATATAAAAGATTGTCTTCATGACTCAGCATGGCATAGGATTTCTTCAAGCCACTCCTCCTGGACCCTACTCTATCTCAGTAAATGCCAATCTCATCCTTTAGGTTGTTCAGGTCAAAAACCATGACATCAACATTTATTCCCTCTCGTGCGCCCCAAATCCATTGGTTAGTGTGTTGTGTTTGCCCTGCCTTACACAAATAGCCAGGCTCCTTCTGCATCAGATCACCTTCACCATTACCTCCCTGTGCCACCATATTGCATAATGTGTGTGTGTGCTCAGTTGTGTCTGACTCTTTGTGATCCCATGGACTGAAGCCCATCAGGCTCCTCTGTCCTTGGTATTTCCCAGGCAAGAATACTGGAGTGGGTTGCCATTTCCTCCTCCAGGGGATCTTCCCACCCTGCGGATCAAACCGGCATCTCCTACATCGCCTGCATTGGCAGGCAGGTTCTTTACCACTTGAGCCACCTGGGAAGCCCATTCTTGCACAATGGTACCCATCAGAGTCATAAAATGCAGCAGCCCTGCTCTCTAGACCAAGCCCCCATCATTTACCCGACCTGGATTTTTGCAGGCACCTCCTCACTGGTCTCCCTGTTTCTATCCCAGCTCCCTGTGTTCTCAACACAGCAACTGGAGCCATCCTTTACTCTAAGTCAATGACATTCTCCCTTGGCTACTTACCTCACTAAGAGAAAAGACCTTCCTGAGGCCTTCCCCACCTAGCCTGCTTATTCCCTCCCACTCCTGTCCAGCCACAGGTGCCTCCTCAGCCTGGAGCAGCAAATGCCAAGACCAACCTAGGCGGATGGAGGGGGATGGATGGGTGAGGCACACTGCCTGTCTGCTTTCTGCTGGGTGCAGAAAGCAACGCCCTAATTTGTAAGCCCTTGCCAATTTCTGGAGTGTCAATACAGTTGGCCCTTGAACAATATGGGTTTGAAATACACGGGTCCACCTATATGTGTATTTTTTTTTCAATAAATATAGTACCTGCATTTTCCTTCTACAGATCTTTGAAAATTAAGTAGGTGTAGGGGAAGTTTGTGTTTGGTTATGGGTCACGATACATGGAATCAAAAGAACTAGGATTTGAGTCCTGATTCTGTTTCAACTATCTCAGCGTCCTCCCTTGGGTGAGTCATTTGTCAATTCCTTTGTTTTGGGGGCAGAGACAGTAGTACTTGGATTGTTGACTGTGTGCTGGGGGTGCGGGTAGGTTGGTGGTTGACACCCTGACTGCTCTATGTTCAAAGGTCAATTGTAGAACTATGGCCAATTGTAAGATAGCTCATGATATCAACAATTTGGTAAAATTTAACAATCAGCTCTTAGAAGCTGATGCAAGCTAGTTTGCACTGGCTCCATGGGTTTGCTCCCTTGGCACAATTGTGTTTCTCAAGCTGGCTGAAGTGTGCATGTGCATGTTAGTCTTCAGTCATGTTCGACTCTTTGTGACCCCATGGACTGAACTTGGCCAGGCTCCTCTGTCCATGGAATTTTCCAGACAAGAATACTGTAGTAGGTTGTCATTCATTCCCTTCTCCAGGGGCTATTCCCGACCCGGGGTCTCCTGCATTGCAGGCAGATTCCTTACATTGAGCCACCAGGGAAGCCCTAGGTAAAGTATACACAGATGCTTTTTATATCGTTCTTTAAAATGTATGTAGGCATCACCATATAAAGACACACATAAAATTATTGAGTAACAGTTGCAATGGAAGACCGACTTCCAAGACTCAGAAAGGGACAATCTGAGACTGTATTCTCTCTTCTCTCCCCAAGGACTACCCTTTCTTCAAGCTCAAAGGAAAACTCAGAAAGTTTTCTAGTGGTTGTCTGGTTTCTTGGGTGATGAGGATCTGAGCCAGGTAAGAGGCTTGCCAGGCCCTGAGGACACTGAGAAGGCATAAAGTAAAGAGAGAGGAAAGAAGGGGGCCAGAAAGACTTTATATTTTGCAATAAGGCCAAACTGGAATGTGGGGACAGAGAGAAGCTCCCTCCTGCTGACCGAGGACCCCCATCCAGGCAATCAGTTAGACCCCTGGGAACAGGGTCATATTTTGGGAGGTGACCAAGTACTGGGAAAAGACTCTGGGGCTTTGCAGGCAGAAGAAAAACCTGGATTTGAGTTTCAGATCTACCTTGTATGACCGAGAAGCCCTGGGAAGTTGTTTCCCATCAGCCTGTGAGATGGAGCTAGGGGTACTCCTCTGACAAATAGGACCTCAGAGGCCCACAGGACTCGATGCAGATGTCCTGGCCTTGGACCCACACTTTGCCCTGGAGGTGCCCCTGCTGGGCTCTGGGAAAGAAAAATACTGGCCTATCAGATAGTAAGCTGGTTCCTCATAAAATCCTGTCATGTTATAAGCCCCATTGTACCAAGAAAGTACATAAAGAAGAACCGTAAAGAAGGCTGAGTGATGAAGAATTGATGCTTTCAAATTGTGGTGCTGGAGAAGACTCTTAAGAGTCCCTTGAACTACAAGATCATCAAATTAGTCAATCCTAAAGGAAATCAACCCTGAATAGTCATTGGCAGGATTATTGCTGAAGCTGAAGCTCCAATACTTTGGCCACCTAACGGAAAGAGCTGATTCATTGGAAAAGACTGTGATGCTGGGAAAGATTGAAGGCAAAAGGAGAACGGGAGGCAGAGGATGAGATGAGTAGATAGCATCACTGATGCAATGGATATGAATTTGAGCAAACTCCAAGAGACAGTGGAGGACAGAGGAGCTGGGCATGCTGCAGTCCATGAGGTCGCAAAGAATTGACATGACTTAGCAACTGAACAACAACAACCAAGAAGTTGGCTGAGGCTCAGAGAGGTTAGGGATCCTAACTGAGGCCACACCCATTGGCTAAACTGAACTTTGAACCCAGGAAGTTTGGTACTGTCACTGTAACCAAAGTAGGCCAGACCAGAGATGCACTGGCCTCCTCTTGGCAGATTAGGACACCAGAGGTACAGCGGGAGGTAGGGCTGACTGCCAACTGGGAGGGACCATCTGCCCTTGAGGACAGATTGCCAGGGGACTGGACATTCCCAGCACTTGGTACAAGGCCTGGCATACAGGTGGCCCTTGGTGGCTGTGAAACAAGTGTCCCTGGGGATGTATCCTGGGGTCTTAGATTCCTTTGGGGATACGGGTCCTTCCTGGCCCAATGATTTGAGGGCTGTGGGTTTTCATAGCCCATACACTTGTCTTTTGGCCTGACCTTGAAACAAGTTTGCCCGCATGTTGTAGCCCAGATCATAGTAGTCTGAAAAGATGGAGGTAATTTCCGTGGGGCTCTGGATCCTGCTGGGCCATGAGCTGGCCCTCTTCTGGTCCTCCAAGGCTTCCCCAATGGCCTTTCGAGCCTAAGTAGGAAGGGAAGGAGGGAGAGAGAAGACAAAAGGTGGGGCAGCAAAGTGAATCCCATATCTCCCCTCTAACTTCTCCTCCCTTGGAGCCTGCCCTCACCACCTTCTCCCCACCCTAAGCCTGCAGCCTTCAACCAACACCCAGTCCTGGGAGATGGCATAGCTGAAGGCCCTATACCCTCCCATACCACCTCAGCTTTCACAGGGGCCTCAGGCATCAAGGAAGAAAAAGATTATGAAAACTCCCTACATTCAATCTCCCTACATTGAAAGTGTGAACGTGTCAGTTGCTCAGTCTTATCCAACTATTTGTGATCCCATGGACTATAGCCCACCAGGCTCCTCTGTCCATGGGATTTTCCAGGCAAGAATACTGGAGTGTGTTGCCATTCCCTTCTCCAAGGGATCTTTTTGACCAAGGAATCGAACCCAGGTCTCCTGAATTGCAGGGGGATTCTTTACTGTGTGAGCTACCAGGGAAGCCCTATGGAACATCAGCAGGGGACATTTTTATAAGCTGGTATTATTTCCACAATTTATAAATAAGGAAACTGGGCCTCAGGGCAGGGACTCAACCCAGCATACAGCTGGAGAAGGAAGCCCTGACTGGCCTCCTACAATGATAGGAGTGGTTGAGCCCAAGCCTAGGAGCCAGGAAACCTGGTTTGGGTCCCAACTCTGCCATATACCAGCTGCTAATTTGGGCAAGTCTCTGCTCCCCTCTGGGCCTCAGTTCCCCTACTCTTAAAATGAGGGTTGGGGCAGAACTGGGTGGTCTTTGAAGTAAGTTCCGGTTCTAATATTTGCTGGCCTAATGATACTTGTGATCTGGGTCACAGCTGGATACAAAACAAAGCAAAACACAGGTCTCTTGACTTAAGCCCAAGACAATGATGGCCAAAGAGAGAAATGGCATGTACCCTAAGCTAAGAAGGGCAGAGAGAGATAGTGACCATACTGCCAACCTCAAGTTGGGGCAAGACCCTCCAAGTGGAGCGGGGGGTTTAGGATTTTGACCTCCCAGACTAACAGGTGCAAGGGTCACCCCACCTTAAGATGATAAAGTAGAAAGGGACCCACCCATAGCCTTTCTGACCCTGGCTCTTCTACTTGTTCTGTGTGACCCCAGGCAGATCATTTCACCTCTCTGAGCTCCAGATTTATCATTTGTTCAAAAAGATGGTGAAGGACAGGGGAGCCTGGTGTGCTGCAGTCCATGGAGTTGAAAAGAATCGGGCATGACTTAGCCACTGAACAAGAGAAAAAAAGAAACTGACTAGTGCCTGGCCTGCTCTACAGTGTATCCATTATGAGGGTTGAGATGGTGACTTTGAAAATATGCCTCAAAATGCCTCAAAATATCTCTATTTGGCCAGAAATGGCAGGTAGGCAGGTAAGTTTTCTCTCAACTTTCAGTTGATCAGCACTGAGTTCCTGCAATGATGTATCAAGTGCGGGAAAAGCGCCAGCATCGATTGGTGATGTCTGCCGTGAATTCAGGCTGTTATTTGCCAGCCTGATCTAGTCAGCCTCACCTGACAGATGTAAAGACTGGTGGGTCCAGAGAGAAGAAGTAGCGATACAAAGTCTCCTAGGATTCAGGGGCAGAGCCAGGATTCAAACCTAAATCTTCTGATTCCCAGTTACTCCTGTCCCCTTGAGGAGACTTAAGTTAAAAGCATCTAATTCTAACATAAATCTTGTAAGTGCAAAATCATTACAGACCAGGGCTCCAGAATCTGCCAGCCAGTTTGGATCCTGTTTACTTAAGCCTGCTAAAGCTTGGGCTTCTAATCTGTAAAATGAGGATTATTATAGCATCTCCCTTACTGGGAAAATTGAATGGTCAGATGTGAATACTGAACAGTGCACAGTGCCTGGGCCATAGCAAGTGTGCGGTAAACACTACTCTGATGATATCATCACAGGGACTCTGTACTCGAGAGCCACTTCCTTCGGGGTCCTCATTGCCCATCTCCATCCTTGACCCTCCTGCCACCCTTAGCTTCCTGAACCCCGTTATGGCACCTGCTCTTCGGAGACCAGCTGGTCCACCACGTTGCTCCCAAACTTGTGACGAATGTTGTTGGGAATGCTGCTGCCGCTCTGGCCCTGGGCCCCCGAGTTGGGGTCTTCCTTCAGCGCCTGGCACGGTTGAGCCCCTTCTCGTAAGGAAGCCCTGCTGTCCCTCGAGGAGGGTCTGAAGCTCCCTTTCTTCAGGGATTCCGGGTCTGAGTTCCTCCAGGGGGATCCCCGGCTGACAGCTGAAGGGGGTGGAGGCGGGATCTCCTCCAGGGAGGCCCGCCCCAGGGAGCTGCTTCGGGGGCTGTCTTCTCGGTACAGGGATGTCTTTGGGGAGACTGGGGCCTGGTACTTGAGCTTGGAGGTATCCAAAGGGCTAAGGGCAGCTCTCCAGGGGTCCGTGTCCTGCTGGCCTTCCTTGTTGTTCGGATGGGCCCTGGTCAGAGTGGTTGTACCTGGAAAGGGAAGAGACAGGGAAGGAAGGAGAGGAGACAGAGAGATGTAGAAAGTGGAGGGTAGGAAAACAATGATAGGTGTGGGGAGGGGGAACAGACAGACAACCCAGAGTAGAAAAAAAAAGATGGTGTGGGGTGTTAGGGGGTAGATGGAAAGAAGTCATGGGAGACGGAAGCATGGGTGAGAAATCAGGAGAGAGGCCAAGAGAGAAGGTAGGAGCCTGAAAAGTGTCACTGGACAAGGCAGCCCTCACTGTTTTTGACCACAGGGGCTACAGCCCCAGCCTGACCAGCCTTGAGGCCAGCTGTGTGACCTTCAGAAAGGAGGTGACCCCTCTGTGCTTTAGTGAACTGACTCCATTTGGTTAGTTCCCTTCTGTACCTTGAACCCCCTCCATCCACCACCCCCAACCCCCGACCTCCAACAATCCATGAGCAACTGTGAAAGCTGGCAGAGGACATCTTTGGGCTTGGCCAAGTCACACGGCTAGCAAGTACTAGAACTGGGTTGGGCTGGTGTTTGCTCCCTATTTAGAGCTGCTCCCCAACCCCACTTCTCTCCTCTGTTCTCCAGCTCATGGAGTGGTGTCATCCCAGCCACTTCCAGGCTCTCACACCCCACCTCTCCCCTCCCCCTTCCCCATCCCCACTCCTACCCTGACTTCCAGTTCCCAGGAATCTCCTGCCCAAGCCTGCAGGTCGCATTCTCTTCCCTGACCCCCGGCTCCAGCCAGACTGCCACTCCTTCCCCACCTCATGAGGTCCGACCTCCCAGCCTTTGCTCAGACTGGTTCTGCTACCTGGAAATCCAGCCCCTCCTTTCCTGAGTCAAAATCCTCCAGGTTCTTTCCAACTCAGCCCCACCAGGAAGTCCTCCCTGACACCCACCCCAAGCTGGTGGAGCCAACGCCTCCTTTTCAACTCCACAACTCTGTTTCCAGCACACTTCATGCATCTCTCTGGGTTTTCCTCTCTCACCATCCTTGTAAGCTTCAAACCCTGTTATTTTCTCTCCCTGATGGGGGAGGGGAGTCACAGTAGTGGGTCCACAGGTGAGTTGGTCCTGGGCCTCCCCTTAGCACCCACCAGAACCCTGTGCATCAGATATGCTGGTGGCACCCATCGATGAGCGAGTGAATGAGTAGATGGCTGCAGGGGTATCAGACCCAGGGTCACCCTGCAGCTCATCAATTCTGAAATGTCCTTTCTTCTCCTGTTAGCATCCTTGACATCCGGCTGCATCTGACAATCAATGTGCTCTGGTCTAACCAGCAATGTTTTCTTTCTTAATGACCCGTAAGTAAGTAACAGTTCACCTTACAACCCACTGGACGGTGACTTACAACACATTTTATGTAGCATTTCACACATGGTATATAATAAACACCTTCTTACTGGGCAAAATACAGAAGACAGGTCTGTCTCTGCCCCCTCCCCCCACAATCCTCAGTCTCAGGTGATAGCTGTCCCTCCACAATGTTTTGGATGGATCCTCCAGTGCTCCTGAAAGACATACAGCCCCGTGGGCTCAGGAGGAGCCCTGCCCTGAGCTGGGCTTCCATCTCCCAACAAGCACAAGGGAGGGCCATGGTGATCAGGCCGGTGCTGCGTGCTCTTACTGCTGTCTGCCTCAGTTCTCTTGAGAAGGATCAGTGTCCCCATCCTGGAAACCTTGTCCCCAGAGGCGCCCTTTTCTTGGCTGCCTGTTTGTTAGCCAGAACCACAAGACAGGATGGAGGGAAGGCAGTCTGATCTGGGGGAACAGGTTTCTCCTCTTTTGTGCAGAGAACAAAGGGGCAAGAACAGGATATTCTGACTTCAGCTCCCTGGGGGTGATGACGGTGGGAGGGAGAATGGTGAGGAGGAAGCGGGCAGGTCTCCAGGATCCATACTCCTGTTTCTCCCAGGCTGTGCTACTGCCTGCCTCCTCTAAACACAGTGTATCTTAACTGCCTGCTCACCCTCCACTTACCCTTTAGGGTTAGGAGAGCTGCAATGGCTGGGAACATATCTCCTGCCCCTGGCTCAGAAAGCCAATGTGTGTGTGTGTGCTCAGTCACTTCAGTCATGTCTGACCCTATGGACAGTAGCCCACCAGGCTCCTTCGTCCATGGGATTCTCCAGGCAAGAATACTGGAGTGGATTACCATGCCCTCCTCCAGGGGACCTTCCAGAGCCAGGGATTGAACTCTCATCTCCTGTGTTTCCTGCATTGCAGATGGATTCTTTATGCACAGGATCACCTGGGAAGCCCAGCCACATAAATAATAAAAAATATTGCAGGGAATTCCCTGGCACTCCAGTGGTTAGGGCGCCACACTCCTGAGGGTGCAGGTTCGATCTCCGGTCGGGGAACTAAGACTCCACAAGTTGCGTGGTGCAGCCAGAAAAAAAAAAAAAAAGAAAGAAACAATAAGGCAGTGACTAAAGCAGGATCCTAGTTTCTCCTCAAGGGATACCTTTGTGTTTTTCTGCAGGAACTAAGGTTTCCACCCTGGTGGAGGATGAAAACTTCAGACTGGAGCACAAGATTCCTAGAGCACCACTCTGTTACCTCACTACCATCCAATCAGAAGGAAGTCACATACCTTGCAGCCTTCACCCCAAAGCCTACAAAATCTTCCTGAAAACCATCGAGGAGTTCAGGGGTTTTGAGCATGAGCCACCCATTTTCCTTGCTTGGCCCTGTAAAGAACTTTTTTCTGCTCCAAACTCTGATATTTTAGTTTATATGGCTTCATTGTGCTATGGGCACATGAACTTGTGTTTGGTTACAAGAGGGGACACTAAGGTGGGGTCATAATCCCCAGACCCGGCAGATGGGAGGGGATCAGCAATCCTTTGCGCCCTTCCTCTTCCTTCTGTCTTCAGATAGAAGCCTCAGGGAAGTCGGGGCCACACAGCAGGTCCAGGGGCCAAAGCAAGACTAAGAGGGGGCGGGGTTGGTCCCTGCTGTCCTCAGGGGGGTCCCTCCAGAGGCCCTGCACATGCATTCAGCATGTCCCTGCTTGCCCGTCCTACCTGCTAGGTGGCCCAGCTCCATTGGCTCTTGCTGTGGAACAGGTAACTCCAAGCTTAGTCCTGCAGATAAAGAAACACACAGGGTCATCTCAAATGACAAGTCTCTATAAACAAAGATGAATGGAGGGCTGAACAGGGAGACCGGTGGCCATCTGCCCAGCCCCTGATCAGAGGGCTCCCTGTGCAGCCTCCAGGGCTCTCTGGCACCAAGGAGCCTCCTGCTCCATCCACTCATCACCCCTGGCACTGGATCTGCTTCCTGGACCCTGGCAGTCTGGGTCACCCCATTCCCAGTACTTCTTTCTCAAGGAACCTGGGGTTCCTCTTCCTCCTTTACAATCTTTTTCTTCCATTTCCTCCCCCATCTCTACCACCTAACTCTCTCTAGGGGCCCCCAGCAGGCACCTAGCTGGGAGGGGCATTGCCCCAAGCCCCCCATCCTAGAGACTACTTGCCTTCTGCAAATAGGATTTTGTCTGTTTTTACTAACTGGTCATTCAAAGAGAGGAACCAGCTTGGCCAACATGGAGGAGAGCCAAGAGCAGGAATTAACCCTGGGATAATCTCTGTCTTTCTTCCAAAGAACAGGCCTTTGGGTCAAATTTGAGGGCCAGCGCTGGCATCCTCAAAAGCCTCTGCAGCTTTCAGGTTTATGTTCCTTTCTTCTAAGTGGATTTTTTCCTTATTCATATTCTCTTATTGTTTTGCATGCGTTTTTAAAGGATTTTTGTGAAATTTGTAATATGAATAGGATAAAAGGATTTATTGTATAATGGATAATTAATACCCAGATCCAAGTGGTAAGTATCTTTTATTTATTTATTTATTTTTTTATTTTTTTCATTTATTTTTATTAGTTGGAGGCTAATTACTTTACATCATTGCAGTGGGTTTTGTCATACATTGAAATGAATTAGCCATGGATTTACATGTATTCCCCATCCTGGTCCCCCCTCCCACCTCCCTCTCCACCCGATCCCTCTGGGCTTTCCAGTGCACCGGCCCCGAGCACTTGTCTCATGCACCCAACCTGGGCTGGTGATCTGTTTCACCCTAGATAATATACATGTTTCGATGCTGTTCTCTTGAAACATCCCACCCTCGCCTTCTCCCAGAGTCCACAAGTCTGTTCTATACATCGGAGTCTCTTTTTCTGTTTTGCATATAGGGTTATCGTTACCATCTTTCTAAATTCCATATATATGTGTTAGTATACTGTAATGGTCTTTATCTTTCTGGCTGGTAAGTATCTTTTAATAAGGAAAGCATAGAAGCATCAAGTCAGAGCTGGAAAGGGTCTTTGAGATTAGTTAATCCAATCCCTTTATTTTACAGATAAAGAAACTGAGACTCAGAGGGTGTGATTTGTCAGGTCACCCAGCGAATTGGTCTCTGCCAATAAACTCAGAGAGGTTAAGAACCAGAAGAATTGTATTCTCTTGGAAAATCACCCCTGTTAATTTTGACTTAATTGTTTGGTGATTGTGCAGCTTCTGATATGACTTTTAATGACCTTTAGCCCCCTTGTATTCATACACTGTATTTCCCCTCAACCCTTGAGTCTGGGCTGGACCTAGTGACTTGCTACCTTTAAATAAACAAAAAAATTATTTCTGTTTTGGCTGTGTCGGGTCTTAGTTGTGGCACACAAGATCTTCATTGCATCATGCGAAATCTTACATTGTAGCAAGTGGACTCTAGTCGTGGCTTGTGGGCTTAGTTGCTCTAAGGTATGTGGGATCTTAGTTCCCCAACCAGGGACTGAAGTTATGTCTCTTATACTGCAAGGCAGATTCTTAACTACTGAACCACCAGGGAAGTCCTGGAAGGGATGCTTGTCATCAGAAGCTAGCGGGTGGTCTGAGGTGGACTGTGACTTGTCTTGTTCACATTCTCTCTGACTCTTCTTGGCTCTTCTTGTGCTGATGGAAGCAGCTTCTGTGTTGTGAGCTGCCTTCTGGAGAGGCCCCCATGGCAAAGAACTGAGGGCCTGTGGCTACCAGATCCAGAAGAAATGTGACTCAGTTCAACAATCTGAGGGACCAAGTCTTACCTTGGGCATGGTCATGGAAAGAGGTCCTTCACTAACTGTCCTTTGAGATGAGACAGAAGCCCTGGCCAATACTTTGATCACCGTCTGTGAGAGACCCTGAGACAGATGGCCCACTGAAGCTAATCTGTATTCCTGACCCACAGAAACTACGAGGTAATAAATGTTGTCTTAAGTCACTCAGTTGGGGGGTGATTTATCATACAGCAGGAGATGACAAATGCAGCTCATGTGTTAAGCATTCCCCCATCTAGGAGGCTAGCCTCTTTTCACGAGGACTCAGTGAGGTGTTTGGAGAATGTGTTAACTCACCCTCTTTCACAATTGGGAGAAACTGAGGCTCAGAAAAGAAACAGGACCTCTCGCAGGTGGTGCTGAAACCAAGCCCCACTCCTGTCTCCTTGGAGTTCTCTTTCTGCTCCTGCCCCTGTTCCCCATCCCCAGCCACCCCCCGCCCCCAATATGCCCACTGGAGCTCCCCATCAGCTCTGGGGACACCCCCAGTCCAGAGTGGCCTGGAGTGGTTTGAACAGAAGTATAGGCTCACCGCCAGTCTCTGACCTGGAGAGAAAGATCCCAAGAGACGTTGGTCAAGGGGGGAGGGAAAGTAGATCCCTTGCGGTATGGGAGCTCCACTCACAAGCAGCTCTGCATAGAGAGAAAGAAGATGAGGCCCCGTGTCCTGGCAGACTCCTGGCCCACCTCAGGGTCCCTGCCTCACCTGTGCACTCTCTCTCATAAAGTCAGAAAACATGTGAACTGCCCTGGTGTGTGCCGAGGCCCAGGAGTGCAGATCTGCGCCGCACAACTGCTGCTGGAGACCAGTGGATCGTTGCTGGGGAGCAGCCCACCCTGTCCATTGGAGTTGCTATGGTGATCACTGTTCACGGGGCTCTGTTACCTCAGAGGGCTGATAAGCCCACCCTGGGGAACAGAGGCGGGGGAGAGCCAGGACTGAGCGGGCAGCAGGAGCCTCCAGACATTGCTCACTCTCTCATCCACTCAAAGTGTCCCAAGTATTCTCCATGGGTTTGGTTGCATGTTAGGCACAGATGGCTCAGATGCCATCAAGTGTGAAGGATGTTCTTGGGATTACAAATTTGTTAAGAAGAGAGGGTAATTAGTTTTATCTAGGGAAAAAGAGGCGGGGCTCACAGACGGGCCTTTTGAGCTGGGTCTTGATGTATGCATAGGTGTTTAACAGTTAGAAGAGACTAGACTATTAAAGGCCCAGGTGTGATTCTGAGCATAAATTAGGTTAAGGGGAGTGGGGAGGGAAAAGAAAGATGTACCTGGAGCTGTCTGAGCTGGTTTCAAAGGGATGCGGGATCAGAGCAAAATGAGAGCAGGGGTGGAACAGCGAGGATCTACTCTTTTCCCCTTAAACCCCAAGGTTACTATCTTCTCTTGCAGCTTCCTGATTCCTGATGCCAGAGCTCTGAGACCTTCTCCCAGGGACTGAATCTGTTTCTCTGGTCCCTCCCCTCATCACTCCTCAAAAGGTCTTATTCTGAGCCAGGAAAGACACCCAAGGTAGAGACCACCTTCCTTTGGCCTATCTACTTTTTTTTAATTTAATTTTTCTTTATACTACCATATAATTAATTATCATGTTGTGTTTCAGGTGTACTGCAAAGTGATTCAGTTATACATATATTTATTTTTTCAGATTCCTTTCCCATATAGGTTATTAAAGAATATTGAGTAGAGTTCCCTGCAATATACAAGTCCTTGTTGATTACCTATGTTATATTAAGAAGTCAGTATATGTTAATTCCAAACTCCTAATTTGCCCCCCACCCCCAACCTTTCCCCTTTGGTAACCATAAATTTGTTTTTGAGGACTGTGAGTCTGTTTTTGTTTTGTAAGTAAGTTCACTTGTATTATCTTTTTAGATTCCACATGTAAGTGATATCATGCGATGTTTATCTTTCTCTGACTTACCTCACTTAGTATGATAATCTCTAGGCCCTCCATGTTGCTACAAATGGCATTATCTCATTCTTTTTTATGGCTTAGCAATATTCCATTTGATATATAATACATACCACATCTTCTGTATCCATTCATCTGTTGATGGACATTTAGGTTACTTCGATGTCTTGCTTATTGTAAAGCATGCTGCAGTGAACATTGGGTTCATTGAGCATCATCTGAGCATCACCACTTCTGAAAGACCCCAGGGCCTGTGGGACACCGCTCTGAACACTCATTTCAAGTGGAAGACCAGTTGTCTTCTCTTCCACCCCCTCCTCCCACAGGGCTGGACCCACAGCAGGAAGGGGTGGCCCCCAGCAAGCCTGGGGCTCACCCTCTTTCTGGCTTACTGATGCCCTTTCCAGGTAAGGTCCCGGTGTGCTCCATCTGACAGGCATCAACAGGCAACTTCTTTTGCCAAAACTAAATAATAAAGTGGTATCCCCAGTGTGGGGGCTGCTGTGACATTTCCTTCCTTGGTAGGTTCTAAGGAATTTGAAAGAGAAGGAAGTACAGGGCAAGGATGTAACCAGGGAGAAAGAGGCACACACAGCTACTTGAAAAGGCCAAGTTTATTCCAGTGTTTTTGGGGAAAGGAGCACTCTACACATTAATTCTAAAAACTTGTCAATTTCCCTAGCTGAGGAGGTAAAGATTAGCTGCAGGCCATGCCAGATCACTCCACCGGCAGGAGTTGTGGGCAAGGGGAGAAGAGGCCACCACTAGGCCTTCCCACCCTTCCCCTGGGACACCCGGGTCTCCGGGGGTGCCCGATGGAACCACTCAAACCAGGAGCCATCGTAGATGGCCACATCGGGCTTGCCACAGAGGTAAGCGGCCAGGGCAATGTGGCAGGCAGTGACACCCTTCCGGCATGTGGCAATGAGGGGCTTTGCGAGGTCCACCTTCTTGGCCTCGAACATGGCACGGAGCTCCTCCGGGCTCTTTTCAAAGCCATCCTCTGTCAGGAAGTCCATGAAAGGCATGTTGACCGAGCCTTGGATGTGACCTGAGTCCAGTCCTGGGTGAAGGCAGAGGACAGGACAGGGTTAGGAGCAGCACAGGGGGTTGGGGGGAGTGGGCCTGGAGGTCGGAATCAAATGGTTATGAGGATAGAGAGCTTTGCAAACAAAAAATAACGTCCTTGCCTTTCTCAGAGCTCAATTTATTTCAGCCCTGGCTACATCCAATGCTCATGACCACCACTCCCACCCCCCCATCAAATCTACCTGATATAGGTATGTTCTACCTGCTTGAGGACAGGGAAGAGTCTCGGCTCTACCATCTAGTAACCTTTATCTTGGGCAAATTGCTTCACCTCTCTGAACCTCAGTTTTCTCATCTGTCAAATGGGCTCAGTGTTACATTCCTATAATATAGGGCTGTGGAGAAGAGCAAATGGGATGAGGAATGTAAATGCTATGGGGTGTGCTAATTGCTAAGAACATGGGTGAAGGGGAGACACAGACCATGCTCTCAGGGAGATTACAGTCTAGCAAGGAAGATAGAGTTTAAATATATAACCACGATTCACTAAATATAAGCTCACTCTGTTTTACAGAGGAGTACACTGCTGCTTGACAAAGTGAAAAGGCTAGCCCGAGGCAACACAGCGAGGTAAAGGCAGGGCCAGGATTGTGCCGAGTCCCCTGGTTTTCCTGTCAAGCCCACAGTGTGTAAAGAGCCTGTGATCTGTTATTAGACGGAAGTTCAAATCCCAGCTCTGCCACTTACCGAGGAGTGACCTTAAGCAGAAGAGAGGCCCCACCTCTCTGAGCCTGTGTCCCCATGGGTAACGGGGGAAGGGCTGCTGTCAAGGGTAAAGCACCGACTATTTCAATCTGCTCACCGCCCTCAGGTGCTGCTGCTTCTCCATCACTTTCCCACCTACCCTGGGGGGCAGGTGAGCGTGGGGGCCCTGTGGTCCTTGAGGACCTTCCTAGCAACCCTGAGAGCCTTTGACAGAAGCAGAATAGGGGTTCAGGCTAGCTCCAGGGTCCATTCCAGAAACTTCTCTACACCTAGTCAGGCCCCTCAGCCAAGTCTGGGCTTCAGAATAACCACCAAGTGGGGCAAATGGAACTCGGCCATGGCTGAGCTGATGCCACGTGCAAGGCCACGGCCAAGGCCCACCCCCAGCGTGGCCCTGGCCACTCCTCTCCCTCAAGCGCCCCACGCCATGGCAGACTGGAGCGCCCACTGGGAGTGGGGCCTCTTTTTCTCCTACAGCCCCTGCTCAACCCAGACTGTGGGGCAGGACCAGGTGGGCAGCAGCGTGAGAGACAGATCTGACCAGGGCAACCAGGGCACATCCTGGGGCAGCGTGAAGGCAGCTGTGCCCTGTCTGTCTGAGCCTCAGTTTTCCACCTGGGAAATGGGGAGCTAACCACACCTATCTCACAGGCTTGTGGGGAAGTCAGCTTCCGCAGATAAAAGCCCTTAACAACCTGGGCACCCAGGAGGAGGGCAATCATGCCAACAGTGTCCCGTTCTCCTCACCTAAAGGCCAGAGAGAATTTGAAATTCTCTGCGCCATGTTGCTGGCCCAGTCGAGTTCCTTTGATTGACTATAGATGTCCTGACTTACTAAACTATAGTGATTTATGGGTTGAGTATTCTTGCCTGGGAAATTCCATGGACAGAGGAGCCTGGAGGGCTACAGTAAATGGGGTTCCAAAGAGTCACGACTGGGCGACTAACACTTTATTCCTGTTGTGATTTCATCCTTTTGTCTGGAAATTTTGATCTGAGATCTGATGTGAACTGACCCTACCGATGCGGCACAATTGGTCTGTTGGCTCCAACGGTGTTCTTTTCCAAGAAACCAACTTAAAATGTCTCAGGGAGCTCCCTGGTAGCCTAGTGGTTAGGATTCTGGGCTTTAATTGCTAGGGCCCTGGTCGGGGAACTGAAATCCCATGCAGGCAAAAAAAAAAAAAAAAGTTTCCGTACCCAGGTAGTGGGCTGGATGAAGTACATTAAAAAACGTCAGCGTTTATTGAGTCCTGAATACTGTTTCAATTCTTTCCACCCATCCCTGATGAAACAGCTTTATTGTTTTTTTCTAATTACAGAAAAGGCACCTCTTCTGGGTAAAAGAGTGGTGGTGGTAGGGGTGGAGAGGGTGTTCTGTAGACTCTGGCCCCCACCCTGGGCAAGCCTCAGGAGTTGGAAGCCCTCCCTTTCTGCCAGCCAGTGCTCAGGGCCTGTCAGAGGAATTTAAATAAGCAGAAACTGGCTGCCTGCGTAGGGGGAGGGCTGGGATGAATTTGGCTGGAGACCAGCCAACTAGGGGAAAGGCACTTTGCACCCAGGGGCAAGGACTCCTGCTGTTCCTCCAGGCCCAGCTTCAGCTGCAGGCTTGTGGCTATCTCCCCAGCCACCAGGCCAAACCTCTGGAATCAGGCACCCAGACGGCTTATCTGAACAACTTTTCCTCAGTCCGCACACCATACAGATGGGCCTCCTGGTACTCACGGGGGGCCCAGGCTCAGAGAGGTGAGATAACTCGCCCCATGACACACAGCACAGGTGTGATGTGCACGCAGATGTGTCCGGCCTCAAAGCCTGTGCACTCTGACTACCCTGAGCCTTCCTAGAAAGAGCGGCTGAGGCGGGCTGAGATGACCTCTCGTGATGACCAGTTCAGAGGTCTGGGACTTGGTGTTCCAGCTTTGGCCAAGAAGATGGAAGTCCAGTTGGCAAGTTAGCATCCTGCAGGTCACTGATAGGTGTGGGCTTTCAAGGCCAGGAAAACCTGAGTAGCTCTATCTTGCTTTCCTGCTAAAGACACCAAGAAAGCCAGTGCAGGCAGCCCCCAGCCCTACCTGCTGGGAGTCAACTTGGCACCCCCTACCCCCTCCTACCCCAGTCCGCAGCCCTGGGAAGACACACAGGCAGAAGTCACATGACCCCATGAAGCAATATGAAGCAATGCTTTGGAGCTATGACCACCCCATGCTTATTGACACAGCAGTGGCCTTGGGAAATAACCCCATTTTGATCCTGTGACTGGGGTCGAGTCTTGGCCTCAGTGTCTCACTGCAGAAGTTTCTGCTTCCTTTCCCTACCTGCAAAGTGGGACCACTTGGAACCCCCACCTGCCTCCCCTGCTGCAGTTGCCCAGGGGAGAATGTATATAAAGGGTCCGGCAACTAACAGCATGCATTAAGGGGTCAATGTTCTCCCTCTTGACCCTCATGGACCCCACTTCCTTCCAAGCAGAGAGAAGGAAAAGAGAATAAGGTTTATAAAAACACTGAGCTGGATCAACTCCCAACTCTGTTCTCTCCCGTTCCTAAGGCTCCTCCTATAAGGTCAGCAATGGCGTTCAATAGGAGGGTTCAGAGGTGAAGGGACAGGCCTGAGGCCACACCTAAGTTCCACACAAGGATGTAAACTCAGGTCTGTCTGACTCTCACTTTTCTCCTCTTACAAACAGGACCAAAGGTACTGGGAGCACATAGCTGAGGCCAGGTGGGAGGTTTCTTGCCTGAAATGGGCAGAAAGTGGCTGTGGGGTTCTAAGGCCCTGCTTCCAGCTCCTCTTGGGGGTCATTCCTTCCAGGGACACCCAGGGCCTGCCACACATACTCCCCTGGGTGTTATATCCGGATGGCTGAGCCCATGGGGTGCCTCCCTGATCCCATGAGCTCAGCAGAGCCTCATGTGCCTAATGTCTTGTACAGGAGGCCAGCAAACCCTCTTAGAGAGGCTTTACAGATAGCCCCAGGCTTTGCACTTTTCTTCATCCTTTTCAAAGTACCTCCAGCCATTGCTGTTTAATAAATACATAGCCAGGTGGGTAGGGCTGGCATTACTCTTTTCATTTTATAAGGGAACACAGAGAGGCTGAGCAATGAACTGACTGAGGTCCCAGCATAAAGGAGGAGCAGGATTCAAACTGGGGCCTATACTCCTTGGTCTCCAGATGGGAACTGGAGGGGAGAAGCTGGCTACAAGACAGGAGCCAGGACTTTAGAATCAGGGGCTTGCAGGAGGTCCTACCTGCAGCGGCTGGCTTTTCCCCCTCTCTGAGCCTCAGTTTCCTCATCTCTAAAGTGGGAAAATGGAGGCCGAATCCGGCATCTCTACGCCCTCCGCTCATTTATTCTGTTTGCTTCAGGGCAAGCTGGGGGATAACTAGAGAAACAATTCCACCTCTCCTCCCTGCAGTGGCATGTCAAGTGCCAAGGAATGGAAGGTGCCTTGAACCAAGGCCAGGAGGGGGTTCCAGGAGCTGGTGCCAGGAGCTAAACAAACTTGAATCTTCAACTTCAGACCAGAGAGCAAGTTGGGCAGGAAAAACACAGTCCTGGAGAAAGCTGCCACAGGGAGGACAGAGTCCTGTGCCTTCCTGGTTCTGCCTCCAACTACCCAAGTGGCCTTGACACACACCTTCCTCTGTGTACCACAGCCTCCCCTCTGAGCAGAGAGGTGACCTTTCATAGCCTCCAGTTCTAAGAGTGTTGGAGTGGCTTTCACAATGCTCTTCACAGAGGCACAGAAAGGAAAAGACTTTTCAACAAGTTAGTCCAAATGTTGCACAGGAGGTGGATTCCACAGAGGTTTCCTAAGGACAGCGCTGCAGCACCTCCAGGCCATCCTGCGCCCTGAGAGCAGTGAGGTCCCGGTCACTGGAGGTGTTCAGGAGGAGGGTGATGGCAAGACCTCTGTGGTCCTGTTAGGAGGTTCTAGAATGCAATTCTGAGACTCACCCCACCCCAACTTCCACCAGTGTAGAACCCTCCCTCTTTGTCTACAGAAGGGGACTCATGAGCCATATCCTTAGAGATGCCTGGCGAAGGGGCTCCCTGCTGGCCCCAGGAGGTGAGGGTGAGGAAGGACGGTGCTGCATCCTGGTTTGAAATTAGGCAGTACTGGGTTCAACTATGGACTCTGCCACTAAGCTAAGCAAGCAACCTAAGAAAGGTCAGGGGGTCTGGGAGAGCTGGAAGAGGAAGGGGGTGCTGGGAAATAGCACTGTTCATGTTGCTAAGAATTTCTGAAGAACTCACGGGGTCCTGAGGAGACTTCTGTACAGCGGTATTTGTGTGGCTCATGGATGCTACTGAGCATGTTGGGGACCTAGTGCGTGGGCATGGATGCAGGTGGATATGTTGTCAGTTACCTCTGCTGATGCCACTCCACACAGATATTCGGTTGTGCCTTTGCATGTGGCTACGGGAAGGCATGTGTCCATTTCCATGCATCACAGCTGGAAAAACCTTAGGTTGGGCACTCCCCTTTCATTTTATAGATGGAAAGACGGAGGCCCTCCTGGGGGCTGCTGAGGGCAAAACCTGGAGAGGGTCCCAGACATCCTACTCCCCATCTCTCCATGTGCTTTGCTCCCCAGGGACTATCCCCCTACGGGGCACCTACCTACTGCATCTGGCTCCGGCTGTGTGCCCAGGTATCGCCCTTGGGCCCGTGAATCCACCAGCTGGAACCTCTTTGATTCTAGGTTCTCCAGCACCTGCTCGTAGGTCTTGAGCAGGGAGCGGTTCAGCGTGGCTTTAAAGATGGCTGGCTCTGGGCGTGAGGGCTCAGATGTCACCGGGTGGCCCTCCTTCAGCCAGTTCCGGAAGCCACCATTGAGCACGGACACGGTGCGGTGGCCAAACACACGGAACATCCACCAGACCCGCGGCGCATATAAACTGCCCCGGTCGTCACCATCGTACACCACCACATGCGTGTCGTTGCTGATGCCCAGACTGCCCACGTAGTCGGCGAAGCCCGCCTCGCTGGGCAGCATCACCTCGTAGGGCGAGGCCTTGTCCCGACACTCCTCTATGTCAAAGAAGGAGGCGCCGGGCACATGGCGCTCCAGGTATTTCTTGCGGGCCTCGCGGGTGCCCGGCGAGTACCAGGACGCATCCAACACTCGAAGGCCAGGGCCCAGCTTGCCAGCCCGGACGGACTCCGCCAGCCACCTGGTGGAGACCAGCGCTCGGTAGAGCACTTGCTGAACCATGGTGTCAGCTCTCCGTGGCACCTGGCGCGGGTGGGAACCAGGAAAGAGATCGGCGTGAGGACTGTCCGTGCAGTGGACTGGGGCCTGGGAGGAGGAGCTTTTCCCCCACTGCACTCCCCCAGGGGTGTCGCGTTTATGGCAACCCGGCAGGGTTGGGGTGTGCAGTGGGTTAGGTTTGCAGATTCCCTAGGGAAAGCCTGCTTCGCCGCTCCCTGCGCCCCCCGCCCGCGCAGAAGGGGGTGGAGCGAGAGGGCTGGGAATCGAGGAGCTGGCTGGGAGGGCGTCTGGCCCTAGAAGCTACTATACTCTCCCTCAGGATTCTCCAGGAGCAGCGAAAAGATGTCCAAGATGGGAGGAGAATGCATCTTGGGCTTAGAGACCCCTTCCTGGGAGCGTAGGGGAGTGGGCGCATGGGAAATGGTCCGCTGGAGGCCCGCAGCCGCCCTCATCCGCGCCTCTCGCCTCGCAAACCTTCCTGCAGCCTCTCAGCAACCTGGGGTCGCCCGCCTCCTAAATGCCCACGTCCGGCCCAGCCCGGTGCCCTCTGCCCCAGTTGGGTCCAGGGTTTCCGGGGCACCCCCGCCCCGCTCTCGCCACCGGGACCCTCCCCAGGGTCGCAGGTAGTTTGGCCGGCGGCCCAATCCCCAGCGGCCCGGGCGCCTACCGCAGCCCCGCCCCGCCGCACTCACTCGCCCTCGCCGCCGCCCTGGCGCTTGCCCCTGCCCGCTGGAGAAGTTGGCAGGTTCAAACCCGGAGCCCTCAACTCCCCGGCCGGCCCACACCATCGCGCCGCCGCCCGCGGGGGGGATCACGCGCCGCCCGCCACTTCAGGCGTCCCCGCCCCGCGCCGCGCCCGCCCCCGGCCAGTCCCCGGGCTCGCTGCGCGTCTCGAACCCGCCCGGACCCGGGGAGGAAGCCGGACCGCAGGGGGCGGCGCGGGGCGGGGCTCGGCGACGCGGGGGTCCACCCCCCCCCGGCCCGGCCAGTGGAAGGCGCCGGCAGCCGAGGCTCCCAGTGGCCCGGGCTGTGGGCTGTGCCGGAGCCTCCTCCCTTTGGCCCGCAGCAGGTTTGTGGCGGGAGGAGGGGACTTCTGAGGGGAGGGGGGATCTCTGCGCGAGGTCATGGCGGAACCTGGAAGCCCGGAGCCCGAGACTCCGGTAACTACTGAGGCGTGGATCTTGCCTTTCTTTAGGGGGAGGCCGATCGTCGGGGTGCGCAGCGTGGGGCTCTCCCGAGGGGCCTGAGCAGAGCAAGGGGCCGTAGTCTAGGAGGGAAGACGCACCCCTGGCTTCACCTCAAGGACGGCTCTCCGCGGCTGCTGGGCGGCGGCTCGCTGGGTGGGGTCGGGGTAGGTGGCAGGGGGAGGGGGTTGTCACCTGGTGACAGTGAGGAGGACTAATAAACCCTGACCGAGAGAAGGCCAACTGACCCACAGGCTCCAGGAGGACAAACTGGCAAAGAACTTGCTGGAGTGAAACCAAACTAACATTTGTCAAGGCCTGCTTGCTGAGGCGCTTTACTGGGGACTCCTATGGCTGGCACTTACTTCCCATAACAACCCTGGGAGTAGGCCAGAAACTTTCTTTTTTTTCCATTTATTTTTATTAGTTGGAGGCTAATTACTTTACAGTATTGTAGTGGTTTTTGTCATACATTGACATGAATCAGCCATGGATTTACATGTATTCCCCATCCCGGTCCCCCCTCCCACCACCCTCTCCACCCGATTCCTGTGGGTCTTCCCAGTGCACCAGGCCCGAGCACTTGTCTCATGCATCCAGCCTGCGCAGGTGATCTGTTTCACCCTAGATAATATACATGTTTCAATGCTGTTCTCTCGAAACATCCCACCCTCGCCTTCTCCCACAGAGTCTAAAAGTCTGTTCTGTAGATCTGTCTCTTTTTCTGTTTTGCATATAGGGTTATCATTACCATCTTTCTAAATTCCATATATATGCGTTAGTATACTGTATTGGTCTTTATCTTTCTGGCTTGCTTCACTCTGTATAATGAGCTCCAGTTTCATCCATCTCATTAGAACTGATTCAAATGAATTCTTTTTAATGGCTGAGTAATATTCCATGGTATGTATGTACCACAGCTTCCTTATCCATTCGTCTTCTGATGGACATCTAGGTTGCTTCCATGTCCTGGCTATTATAAATAGTGCTGCGATGAACATTGGGGGTACATGTGTCTCTTTCAGATCTGGTTTCCTCAGTGTGTATGACCAGAAGTGGGATTGCTGGGTCATATGGCAGTTCTAATTCCAGTTTTTCAAGGAATCTCCACACTGTTCTCCATAATGGCTGTACTAGTTTGCATTCCCACCAACAGTGTAAGAGGGTTCCCTTTTCTCCACACCCTCTCCAGCATTTATTGCTTGTAGACTTTTGGATAGCAGCCATTCTGACTGGCGTGTAATGGTACCTCATTGTGGTTTTGATTTGCATTTCTCTGATAATGAGTGATGTTGAGCATCTTTTCATGTGTTTGTTAGCCAGCTGTATGTCTTCTTTGGAGAAATGTCTGTTTAGTTCTTTGGCCCATTTTTTGATTGGGTCATTTATTTTTCTGGAATTGAGCTGCAGGAGCTGCTTGTATATTTTTGAGGTTAATCCTTTGTCTATTGCTTTGTTTGCTATTATTTTCTCCCATTCTGAGGGCTGTCTTTTCACCTTGCTTATAGTTCCCTTTGTTGTGCAAAAGCTTTTAAGTTTAATTAGGTCCCATTTGTTTATTTTTGCTTTTATTTCCTATATTCTGGGAGGTGGGTCATAGAGGATCCTGCTGTGATTTATGTCAGAGAGTGTTTTGCCTATGTTCTCCTCTAGAAGTTTTATAGTTTCTGGTCTTGCATTTAGATCTTTAATCCATTTTGAGTTTATTTTTGTGTGTGGTGTTAGAAAGTGTTCTAGTTTCATTCTTTTACAAGTGGTTGACCAGTTTTCCCAGCACCACTTGTTAAAGAGGTTGTCTTTTTTCCATTGTATATTCTTGCCTCCTTTGTCGAAGATAAGGTGTCCATAGGTTTGTGGATTTATCTCTGGGCTTTCTATTCTGTTCCATTGATCTATATTTCTGTCTTTGTGCCAGTACCATACTGTCTTGATGACTGTGGCTTTGTAGTATAGTCTGAAATCAGGCAGGTTGATTCCTCCAGTTCCATTCTTCTTTCTCAAGATTACTTTGGCTATTTGAGGTATTTTGTATTTCCATACAAATTGTGAAACTATTTGTTCTAGTTCTGTGAAAAATACCGTTGGTAGCTTGATAGGGATTGCATTGAATCTATAGATTGCTTTGGGTAGTATAGCCATTTTGACAATATTGATTCTTCCAATCCATGAACATGGTATATTTCTCCATCTGTTTGTGTCCTCTTTGATTTCTTTCATCAGTGTTTTATAGTTTTCTATGTATAGGTCTTTTTGTTTCTTTAGGTAGATATACTCCTAAGTATTTTATTCTTTTTGTTGCAATGGTGAATGGTATTGTTTCCTTAACTTCTCTTTCTGTTTTCTCATTGTTAGTGTATAGGAATGCAAGGGATTTCTGTGTGTTAATTTTATATCCTGCAACTTTACTGTATTCGTTGATTAGCTCTAGTAATTTTCTGGTAGAGTCTTTAGGGTTTTCTATGTAGAGGATCATGTCATCTGCGAACAGCGAGAGTTTCACTTCTTCTTTTCCTATCTGGATTCCTTTTACTTCTTTTTCTGCTCTGATTGCTGTGGCCAAAACTTCCAAAACTATGTTGAATAGTAGTGGTGAGAGTGGGCACCCTTTTTTTGTTCCTGATTTCAGGGGAAATGCTCAGAAACTTCTTTAAAGACTTGGAAAAGAGTTGCCCAGGGGCTCGCGGTGACATTGAGGCCAGGCCATTTGTTAATCCTGGATCTGAAGCCCACGTGGCAGTGGCTGCTTTTGTTTACTTGCTCATCCCTGAAGTTACATATTTAAAAAACAAAAACAAAAAAACTGCCTTTGTCCTTAACCTATTTCATTATAAGTGAATATAATTTAATTTTTAAAAATGGCTGTGTTTAACAACCAGTGGCTTAATTCCTGAAAATCTAACAACTGCTTCTTGCAAGCTATTGGGACACCCCTACCCGCCCTATACTCAGTTTTTTATATGCTATTATGTATGCTTGGAGTGCTTTTCTCATCCCCCTTGGAAAAAAATCTTTTTATGTTGAAACAATGATAGTCTCACGGAAAGTTGCAAAAATTCATACTTTGATAAGCATTTACCCAGGGAATTCTCTGAGCTTTGTGCTTTGCAGTCAAGGGAGAGAGGGGGCCAGGAAGTACAAGACCAGGGAAGCCCTTGTAGAAGGTCGAGTCTGACTGGACCCTGCTATTCCAGGGCCCATCCCAGATGGCAGCCTGGTGCTTACACCTCCCCTAGCACAGTGTGCACCCGGGAGATGGGCCTGGGGCTGTCCTGTTTGGCTGGGGGTCCTTGACTCCCAGAGCAGCCCCACCTACAGCCATCCATGCCTGCCCAAGCACATCGGAACCTGGTCCACACCCTTCAGCGACACACACGGCCTGCTCTCCCAAAACTTCCTCTACCTCCTACAGTCCTTCATGGGAGCTGCCAATCCAGCATAGGGAGTGTGAGTGTGTGTGTTTGTGTGTGTGTGGCAGGATGACCTTAGACCTCTGAAGTTCCAATTCTAGACTTGCTGACAATGGATCAGAGGCCACCCATGAGAGTAGCTTTGAAGAAATAATGGGATTTTTATGAAGCTGTCTTTAACGATTATTAAAACCAGCAATGTGCAGGGCATTATGGTGGTGCTTTGATGTTCATTTGGGCTTCCCTGGTGGCTCAGTTGGTAAAGAATCTGCCTCCAATGTGGGAGACCTGGGTTCGATCCCTGGGTCAGGAAGATTCCCTGGAGAAGGAAATGGCAACCCACTCCATTATTGCCTAGAGAATTCCATAGACAGAGGAGCCTAATGGCTAAAGTCCATGGGGCCACACAGAGTCAGACATGACTGAGTAACTAACACTTGATGTCCATTATTTAATTTTCACCATTAAGAGGTGAAGATTGGAAGCTCAATTATAAGAAATGGAAATGGTGCTGGGTGCCTCACATGCCCACCCAGCATACACCTGGTTAAGAGGGGCATAGGACTGGCACTGACTTTGGAGGGGTTCTGGCTCCCAAGTCAGCATTCTTTCCACTCTAAATAGATCCCTGGGGAAAAAACCAAGGAGCCTCAATAATGAGGAGTGAGGAGGGGCTACTGTGGTTCACAATGGGGTCTTCAGGTAGTTCAGTTCAGTTCAGTTCAGTTCAGTTCAGTCAGTCAGTCGTCTCTGACTCTTTGCAACCCCATGAACCACAGCACGCCAGGCCTCCCTGTCCATCACCAACTCCCGGAGTTTACCCAAACTCATGTCCATTGAGTCGGTGTTGCCATCTAACCATCTCATCCTCTGTCATCCCCTTCTCCTGCCTTCAATCTTTCCCAGCATCAGGGTCTTTTCAAATGAGTCAGCTCTTTGCATCAGGTGGCCAAAGTATTGGAGTTTCAGTTTCAACATCAGTCCTTCCAATGAAAACCCAGGACTGATTTCCTTTAGGATGGACTGGTTGGATCTCCTTGCAGTCCAAGGAACTCTCAAGAGTCTCCTCCAACACCAGGTAGAGGCCTGCCGAATCCCTCAACAATCATAGTGCAGTGTAACCCACAGGCACTGGGATCACCCCTTAGGCAAAGGCTCTGGCAGCCGCACCCTGAACAAATCAGCTTGGATTTTCCCTTCCCCCCACCTTCACACCTCAGGCTGAGCTAGTGTGCCCCCTCTGCTCCCACTGAACTCCAGACTTTCTACAGTTATGTTGTGTCTCTTTTCTGTCTTCTTGGCAGCACTGGGTCTTTGTTGCTGCATGCAGGTTTTCTCCAGTTGTGGCAAACGGGGGCTGTTCTTTGTTGTGCTCAGGCTTCTCACTATGGTGACTTCTCTTGTTGTGGAACACCATCTCTGGGGCATGCGGGCTTCAGCGGATGCAGCACTCGGGCTCAGGAGTGTGGCTCTTGGGCTCTAGAGCACAGGCTCAGTAGTTGCAGCACATCAGCTTAGTTGCCCCACAGCCTGAGCATGTGGGATTTCCCTAAACCTGGGATTGACCCC